GTCTCTTTCAAAAGCTTTAGTCCCTTTCTGGAGAGAAATCCTTAGGACAGGTACTGTTGAATTCCCAAACAGATTATTTCTAGAATGGGAAGAGACTGTTTCAAACAGAGGTTCTAAAAGGTCTGCATAGGGCCCCGAGTTGTTCCAAGCCCTGAAATGTTACATGGCAAAGTGAATATCAGCAGACAGTGGAGATTTTTTTTTTTTCTTTTTCCCCTTGTGCTTCACCTTGAAACAGCTGTTAGCAAAGCCAGAAAACTCCTCTGCCCCTTGGTGTATTTAATACAGCCTTGGCAAAGGGACTGCAGTCTGTCAGCTCATGAATATGGGAATTGCCTAATTCTCCAGCTATTCTTATTACCTCAGCCTGAGCATCCCAGCTTTCCATAACTAATTTCTGAAATAGCAGACTTACCACTATCCTTTCTGTCCTTGAGCAGCAAAYCGCTCTTCCTCATGTGGGATGCTGCTGTCTGTGCTGTGCTACTGGTTTTCCCAGGGCTCTCCCCTAGCAGGGATAGCACTGTGGAGAAGGTCACTGACCCCCGCACTTCCGCGCAGTTCCGGCAGATACTCACCCTTTGTTGCTGTGACTTACAGGAGGATGTCTGGAAAATAACAAATGCTGCACRGCCCTGTGCAGTAGCACGGGCTTGCTGAACGGCTCTGAAGCGTGGGCAGTGGGCTGGCAGCTGGAATGCAATCCTGGCAGCAGAGATCGCATCCTGTTCCTACAAGCCGTGGAGATCACTGCCTCCCTCCACATCCCATCTCCCACAAAGTCTCAGGATTTGCAGTGCCTCCTGCCTGTCACTTCATTTCCCCTTCATTGCCTCATATSTTCTCAGTCCACCTTCCCTCTCTGTGCCCATGCACCTGTTTTCTACCTCTTTGTTATTTTTCCTTATATCACTGATCCTGCCAGCCCTCCCAAGACTCAGAGCTAAAGCTGTTCCTGTGCTGGAAGGTGATAATGGCTGCCAGGAGCTGTGAAGGCTGCTGCAAACTACAAAGCAGATGGAAGCTGAGACTGGGCTAATTATGAAGCAGGGACAGCAAAACTTGTGGACATGCTGGCCAGAGGTTCCCAGTTTTTTCCCAGAGACAAATAGGTACATCTTTTGAATGCTGGCAGGTGTCATGGGAGCAGGAAACTCATCAAGCGGTGGACAGCTTTCCAATCCTGGCTATGGAGTGCTGCATGTGATRCCTCCTCATCTCACTAACACCCACRACTGCTGCTGCCAAACTGCCCTGGACAAAGAGAATGTGCCCATTGCAGTGGCAGCTGAGGAAATCTCCAGGCTGGCTCCAAGGGCTACATTCCTGTAGAGCATAGGCAGATTAGAGCTTTTGTTGTAGGCCAAGAAGCAGCTACAGCAGCACAGGCTRTATCGCAAAAGGATCATGGCAAGGTGGAAAAACCCATTAAGATCTTCCTGTTTCTTTCGTGATACAGGATTCTTTTTCCAAGAGCTTGCCAAAAGGGTAACTGCATCAATGGAAAATCAAAACTGGGTTATGTCCTCTAGTAGTTAATTTCCTAGTTCCAAACTGGCCGATTTGAAAGCTGTAGAAGAAATCACCTTCCAAGTCCACGGCTTTGTAATCAGAACCCCCCTTTCAATCAGTCATGTTATAGGGCTGTAAACACAATAATTTCATCAATACTATGGAACAGTCATGTTGCATTTGTATTAACATAAATGTGTGCTGATATGCCATAAAGCTAATCTGATATGACAGTAATTGGCTGATGCCAAGCTATGGAGGCCCTGGAGCTATGCTTGCTGTSTCTCCTCTAAAAGAACTGTCCTCTGAAACACTGGAAACACTGYGGTGCTATATCTTGCCTGCCATCAATCAGCAATGCTTCTTGCACCTGCAGGACTGTGGTGTTTGAAGTTGAGGGGGAATTGTTTGCTTGGGGGAGTTGTATTAAAAATGGGACTCAATCTCCTACAAACTTTAATACTAAGAAACCAGGATTTCCAGACTATCTTGTTAGACTAAATCAGACTCAGCAAGCATGCAATGGATAATAAACTCAAAAAAGCCATAAAAGCATTCCTTTCCCTTTGCTCTATGACTACCAGGACCTGTGCATCATCACCTAGTCTGCAGTAGGCTTTTCTTACACAGATGAAGCTTAAGGAGCTTAAAACTATAACTGCTTTGGGTCTACCGTTGCTATCTTGTACAATGCTCTACAGACAGAGGCAAGCCTTAAATCTGAGGCTGCAGCTGGGGTTCTGTGGTTARAGGCCTTAAAGGAGATCAGTACAAGCAATGCCTAAGATGTAAACCAGATCTCAAACACAGCCTATCTCCTGTCCAGGCCATGAAAGTAAGCGGACAGACTCAAAAACCAGGCTAGGACCAGGAGTCTTTGCAGTTGCAGTCACAATAGGAAGCATTTACTTTGCTTTTCGAAATATACCCTTAGTGAGGAGAGACTACATCTCTTTTTGAAGGAGGCTATTAAAGAAACCACAGCAGACACCCAGGCTTCCTGTACTTGGTTCAACATCTCTGTGCATGCTTTGCTGTCTGGCTACAAACTGCCTTGCCTAATGCATTCTTGTCCACAACAGAGCTCTTGGGTTCTACCCCAGTACAAACCAAAGAGAGACTTGTTTTAATCAGAAACCATGCTTCTCAACAGTATGGCACTAAATACACATCACTTTTGGCAATCTGCAAGAGCWATATCTCAAAATCCCAAAGGATATGTGGCCTGACAGTGCCCAAAACACCTCATGGAGCAGCCAGTGAAATCTGGAGAAATTTTTTTAAAGTAAGGTGGTGCAGAGCACGTTAAATAGGGGATTTRGAATCTGTGCTTAGGTTCTGGATTTGACTTAAATCTTTCGCGGTCTCTGATCAGTTCCTTCATCTGTAAAATGGGATCAATAAAATCTCCCCAACCTGCAGCAGTGCTCCCAGGCTTAATTGATGTCTGTGAAGCATTCTGAAAGCCACAAGTGAAAGAAACCATTATCAAGCCCTCAGGCCTTAATATAATACCRACAAACAACACAGAGTTGTTTATAATGCTTTTCAGTGCCACAATGACTAGGAAATGAGGGAAGGATAAAGTGCAGATGCACCCAGTGCTGCTTTGCTGCAGCGTAAATGAAAATGGTAGGAGTAGATTTTATAGATTTTCCTCCAGGGAATTCTGCTTTCAATAATGCAGTAAAACTGCTACCTCTGTGGATTCAAACAGATGCCCTTGCTAACACCTCAGGTATCAAAACCTATTATGAATTTGGAAGGATGCGTCTTGGAGTTGAAATCACATGGAAACGAATTAAGAAATGACTCACTCGGACCTCGCAGATTTAAAGAACCAGGGRCTGCCCAGCCACCCCTTCCAACGACTGAACTCAGCCTAGTACCGTACCAGCACACGATATCCCACCTTGCACAAGACAAAACACCCCCAGGCATCTCCCAGGCTCTGTSCTGCCGACTGCAAAGCTCTCTGTCCCTGCGGGTGCAGCTTTAGGAGCCGAGAGGAGYGGCCGGGCTCGCCCGGACCAGCGCACGGGCAGAGCGCTCCCGGTCGCGCTGCGCCAGCGGAGCCCGCGCTGCAGGCGAGAAGCGAGCGAGTGCGGGGTGCGGGCACAAGCGGGATCCGGCAGCGAGCAGGTGTCAGCCGGGGCAGGTGTGGAAGGGCTTGGGAAGCGCGTGTATCCCCCCGCTCTCAATCTTCGCGGTGGGCGCGGAGCTGCCGGTAGGACCCGAGGGGCCCCGCTGGACCCGGGGAACGAGACCCAGGGCAGATAAATCATAAAGCGCTCTATGAGCGGTCCCGCAGCCCTCCCCGCCGCGCAGCCATTTGCCTTTGTTGCAGCCCCGCGCCCGCAAGGTGCGGCGGGGCCGGGGCCGGGGCTGACGATGATGATGGAGCTCGCTCCCCGGTCGCTCTCCCCTCACAGCACAGAGGTGGGGACACGTCCTGCGGGGCTGGCTGCCGAGAGGGACCCACCCGCCCGCCGCCCGCACCTACCTACCTGCGGAGCCCGCCCGGGACGCGTCGCCCGCCGCCTTTGTTGTGCATGCCCGCCCCGGCAGCGCCGAGCCGCGGGTCGGCTCCGGCCCGGCCCCTCGGCGCCCGCCGCTCGCAGGCCCGGCTTAGCCCGTCGCCACGGCAACGCGGGCGCGGCTCGGGCGAGGTACCGGCCCCAGGGCCCCGCCCCGAGCGGGCTGAGGGGACAGAGCGGGGGGTCCCCGCAGGGCCCCGCCCCGAGCGGTGCTGAGGGGACAGAGCGGGCGCTCCTGAGGGGACAGAGCGGGGGGTCCCCGCGGGGCCGGGAGGAGGCGGCCCCGCAGCCTCGGCTTTAGGGCGCTCGTCTCTCGGCGCTCGCCCTTCTCCCCAGCCCTGCGCCCCTCCTTCCCCAGAGTGCCGGGCAGTTCCGAACTGGGCTTAGATTAGCCCTCGGCTTCCTCTTACGGTGCTTGGGATCCCTCATTTTCCATATCCGGTAGCTTTTCTTTAGACTGGCCACCTCCGGAGTCCCTATCTCCGGTCACAGATCRCACGTTCTTTTGTCCTACAGCAAGCACGGCTCTGGTGACTCTCCTGACTATCTTCCTGCATCATCCTCCACAGGCTCTTACACGTGACGGGCAGTGTCTATGGAAAGAGGGGAGCTGCTCTGAGAATAAAGCCAAGGCAGTGGTAACGCCTCCGTTTATCCCTGTTTCTGGGCATAGGAATGAATTGTGTCCTGCATGTACAACTATTTTAACTGACCATTAATTTYAGGGATAACCATGATAGCTTGAACYTCTTTCAGTCAGCAAGGACTTGGCAAATTAATGGTTGTGTTGATTATTTCTAGGATTAAGTGCCGCAGTTCATTGGCTCTATCATGTAATGCTAGATCGAGCTGGGTCCTGTTACCAGACTTGTACATGTGCATGTGTTCATCTGTGCATGTGTTCAACCTGAACAGGTAGGTTCTGGAGTGGTGAGACATGTTAGAAGGAGGGTCCTTGATCTGAATTGCTCACATTCATGGGTTTTATTAAGTGATCCAACATAGGTAAAGACATTGTTTGAGGACATAATTAAAGAAGAACTAAATTCTGGAGAAAAAAAAAAGTTGAATGTGGAGAGAAGGAAATAGCAGAGCAACCCTGAACTCTTTCTGTGTGTTCAACAGCCGATTATACAGATTTTTTTTTTTTTTTTCTGGGGCCTGTTAAACTCCCATTTCACCTTAGTAGAAAGGAGTGGCACTGGGCTCACAGCACCCTCCACTGAAGGCTCTTAAATTACAAATAAAACATATGAAACCTCCTCAGTTAAACCTCATCTGACAGAGGAAAAGACAGAGACAGAATGTGCTCAAAGTCACATTCTCTGGCACAATCGGGAAAAACTGCCAGAGCTGTGATGTCCTGTCCTTGGTCTTCACCTGCCAGTTTGCYATCCTGTCCCAAGAAGGTACCTGGAATAAACCCAGCCTTGCCTTCAGGAAGGGCAGGGGAGAGGGGACAGGAGGCAGCTGTCCTATAGYTCCCCTTGGTCACTCTGGGCCCATACATTACTCATGTAGTAAACAATCTCATTCTTAAAGGATTTCTCACTGGACACAAGGATGCCTAGGGGATGACCTGGTGTTACTGTGTGGTGAAGAAGGACAATAAGGAGAACTTGGAGACCTATTGTGATGGTCTTTGCAGCTCCCCTGCAATGAGTGGCGTCCTTTTTCAATGCATGCTAATTTATAAATAGCCGCGATTCCGCTACTCAGAGAAAGCTTTTGTTTCTCCTTGTACTCCATATACGTGATACTCTGCAGTGCAGAGCAGATGTTTGCACCAGATTCTGCTCCCCTGGAAATGGGCAGTAGAAGACTGAGAGGCGAGGGGTGAAATAGCATCAGGGTTATCTCTTGTCCTCAGCTCAGAGCTCCTGTTACAGCCAGTCTGAAAGGCCAGGAGACGCCCTTGGACTTAGCAGCACAGTCTCGAGTGTATGCCTGTGCCCCTGCTGGAGATGAACATCCTGTTGTTTGCAGAGTCCAGTTACAGCTAAAGCTAAAAAAAAAAAGTATCTGTCTGCATAAACAGGAATTTTCCTCAATTGCAGGAGCCAGCAGAGGACACTGCTTTGTCTCCATCTCTGAAAGGGCTGAGTAATTGTTTGTTTCCTTGGTTTTTTCCTTTTGCTGCCTTCTTCCAGCTCTATGACTTTGGTGGCACTTCTGGCAGAAGAACACTTGCCATYATTTCCGTTTTATCCATATCCACCAGAGGATTTTGTTTTCCAGATTGTTGCTGCTGAAGCCACAGCAATAATGCTCCTTTAAAGTATAGCTTTACTTAAGGGAGGGAAGAAACAAAACCACATGACAAATTGGTCCAATTTATCACAGCAACAGAAACCTGCAATTCAGCTCAATGGCCCCCACAGGCCAGCTTAGACAGCATCAATATTTAATGACCTGAGCACCACTGCCTTCGCAGCTCCGGCTCCACCTCTGCCCCTCCCCTCCTCACAGGTACCCCTCCATCTTGTCACTCCAACAGTGTGGAGAGCATCCCCAAAATTCCTCTGGGTGAGCAGGGTCTCTCTTCAGCCTGCCAGGTCAAGATTTCTTGCTAACCCAAGAGCACAGCCCAGACCTGCTGGGTACAACCAAACTCTGCCCCTTTTTCCTCCTGGCTGGACTACACATRCTGCACATTTATGCCCAAGTAACAGCTCCAGGCTTTCTGGGCATGCCTGTGGTCTCTGGAAAATGGGAAAGCAGGAGTAGGAATGGCCTCTYCCAGTCTTTTTTTGGGTGACTGCATAMCCCAGACAGGACTGTTCAYTTGGTAGCAAGCTGGAGATSTCTTCTGTTCAGCTGTCTATATCTRTTCCCATTATTCAGGCAGGTGTATTTTATTCTAGAATGAGCTGTAGTGAAATAAAATGCCAGCAATGTGTCCTGTGGTTCAGGAAGACTTGAAAAGAGGATGAGTCAAGCTATRCCAAATGCCTCCCACTGTGAGCAAAGGGGGGCATCAGAGGAGTTTRGGAATCTCTTTTACAGGGCCCAGGCTCCAAACTGGCCAAAGCAATTGGCATCCAAGAACATCTCTCAGCTCCACCCCAGCATGTGGCCCCTTTCTGGCTTGCTCTGCCTGGGACACTTACAGGAACAAGTGACAGCTTATACAGCTACATATGGCCATAGGCATGTTCCTTCATGGCTCTCTTGCCTCAGTTTCCTGGGTCTGTAAAATGGAGGTGACTGCAATCTCCTGGTGACAAGCACAATGTGAAAGAAAACAGTTTTATCAGGACTGTGCTGRCCAGAGGAATTTGTGCTGCTGGACCAGCAACTTGAATGCCTCCTGCAAGACAGCATCTTCCACGATACTCTCTGTTCACTTAAAAAATGCCACAATTTAGCAAATTGCATATTCCAAAGGGGGAGTTATTATCCACTACCTTGGCAGCGTGTGGCAGAGGCCATTACAATAAATGGCTTTWTGGGAAGATGGCTCTCTAATTCACTATGTATTTAACATAGGCCATGGGGGCTCAGCTCTTCATGTAAGAYACATCCAGCAAGGCCCTTTTGTGACCATCTCCCTGCACTAAGGAGGTGTTAGAATAAGTGTGATTAGGAATAAACATAACAGTGGAGGCTTCTGTATCAAAATAGTGTGGGTCAGTGGCTGCACAGTCGAAGGGACAATGATGTGCACAGGACTCAGGTATTTAGGAGCCAAAAGCTGCCTTGCTGCAGTTCATCCAGAGATGCTGGGCCATTTCCAGTGCCAGAGCTTAGCTGCTAAGGGGTAGCTTCCATCCCCTGGAATGCTTGGTGACTGCCCCCCAGACCCTATGCTCTTGTAGTTTTAGGGTATCTGTCTTGTTATGGGCATAGTTTAAAACTAACAGCAGAGCTATGCAGAACAATATGTAACTCAACAGACACCTGCAAGTGCCCTAGCAAATATTTAATGGATTGTTCCACCAGTTAACTGTCCAAGAAAGGAACTGTGAGCCAATTCAGTGCATTTCAAATCACAGTTCTGTTAAAAAAATTAACAAAGAGCACAGCTCTTCCTCCTGGCAGCCATCCAGTTATTAATTTCTATGTATCAGCTGCATCTGAATGGGCTTGGTCTTCCACCCACTATTTCTATTTATTTGTTTTCCATTCATCTCCACTAAAATTAAAACTCAAAGCCTTCTAGCCAGAACGGAAAACAAACATGCTGAACCAATACTGCTGCCCACATATAACCAGCAGAAACCACCGCACTTTTTCCTYCTCAGCAGTGAGGCAAGATCTGATTTTTAAGACTCTGGGCCTTTCCCCTGAAAAATAGCACAGGCACCTATGGCATTAGCACAGCCTCAAATTCTTGTTAGACACAGCAGGCAGCACCCTTTTAGATCYTGACTGTAGGTGTTTACTGTGCTCTAGGTCACAGTGACTGCAGAGGCCCCACGCTGGAGACCTTTTTGGATTAAATACCTTCTACATGGTTTATGAAGACAGAGCTGATGGTCCAGATGGTCACACTGGCTGAGAGTTTATGGATCAGGATTAAAGGGAGGGGCAGGGACTGCTGACATTCTAGTAAGGGTCTGCTACAGACTGCTCAAGTGGGAAGACTGAGCTGACAAAGTCCTCTACAGACAGACAGGAACAGCCTGGTGCTCACATGAGTCCTGGTCCTCTTGATGGATTTCAACCACCCTGATACCTGTTAGAGGGACAACACAGAGGGGACAGACAAGCCAGGAGGTTCCCAGGATGCACTGCTAATTACTTCCTTCTCCAAGACATAGAGGACCTAACAAGGAGAGGTGTAATGCTGGACCTTGTCCTCATCCACAAGGAAGGGCTAGATGGGGAATGYGGAGCTCAAGGGCAGCCTTTCCTGCAGTAACCATGGAATGGTGAAGTTCAGGGGTGGCAAGGAACATGCGCAGCAARCTCACTACCCAGGACTTCAGGAGAGCAGACTGGCCTCTTCAGGGCCCAGCTTGGTAGAATACCCTGGGACAAAAGCCTGGAGGGCCCAGGAAATCTGGTTAATATTTAAGAATCACCTTCTCCAATGCATCCCAAAAAAAGAGAAGTCAGGCAAAAACACCAGGAAGCCTTCATTGATGAACAAAGAGCTCCAGGACAAACTCAAACAAAAGGAAATATATAGAGGGTGGAAGCAAGGACAGGTAGTCTAGGAGGAATACAGAGAAAGCACCTAGCCTTCCTTGTGTTGGTTTGATTTCTTAWTGGTGTCTCGGTTTGTTCTGGACCCATCTGTATTTCCAAGCACACCATCTAATAAAATGTTTTGCTACAAAATCCCAGTCTTTTACAGTGGTCTGATTCTTTCTGCATCCCAGCGTACATAAGAACTGAAAAGCCAAAGGTTATGAACTTACTTTTGAAGTGATACAAATTACAAAATACTCTCATTTATAGTTACAGTATTTAAATCCTATTTGCAACAGCACAATCAAYAAGATCCAACTGTTGATGTACAGGAAGGGATTCTTACTAAGCAAAATGTACTGAAATAAGGCTTTGCTCTCTTTCAGTCTTTTTTCCTTCCTTAAAAACATACAAAAGTGAGTGCATAGTGCTAGATATGGGTTTGGTTGAATACAAAATTCTTTTCCTTGTTACCTAAAATTATTTCCTTCCTCCAATRAAGAGAGTTTCCAGTTCTGTGTTTACGGCATCGTCAGGAATTACAYTGTCCTCCATAAACTCATCTCCAAGCTTCTTCCACCATGGCCAACGTGTGTATTTCAGCATAGTGTTGTGAGTTTGTCTTGCCTTGGCAGCCACAGGCATTGATCGACTCATAAAGGCACCAAGATCTTTTTCTGTGGTCTCTGCTAAACCTGGAGCATCTACAAGAACAAGAAGAGTTGTCTGTATTTTGTTTGTGGTTTTATGAGTATTAAAAAAACCAAAAAGGAGCACTACCCTCCCACTTCCCACTGTCCTAGGTCACTCCTTTCCCCATGCAAGCATTGCAATTTTATGATTACAAGATAAATCACAAATCTGATTGGAGAGGCAATCCAAATAAAGGCTAATCTGAAAAAAAACCATAATGGGGTAGAAAGAAGAAAGGGGAAAGATGGACTGCTTCTTTCTGGTGCAGTGGTGATATCCACCAAAAAGATTTTTTGTGGAAATACAGCCTCAGAGCATCTCCTGGTCATTACTGCTGGATCAATGCTCCTGGTGCACTGTGACATCAGCACAGTGTTCTCATTGCCCTGGTGCAGCAGCACTGTGAATTCCCTGCTTGGGGGACCCAGCACTGTCAGTGCCATAGAGTGTTGCTGATTTGCCTGCCTGAGGAGTGATGAGCTGCAGTGACACAGCATGTGACAGACTAAATAATGGAATTCAGTAACTTGTTGAATTCTGCCTGGCTTGGGTGCTCTCTGGTGGCTGCAGTTTGCTACTCTTGCTCTTTCACACAGCCACTTGTCTGGCATCAAGACAGCACAGTAGTGAATTCTGTTCCACATAAAGCCAGCCCAGAGAAAACGAMARCATGGAATTCACAGCTCAAAGATTTCCATCTTTTTCTGGAAGGKTGAGAGTGTTTTAGCCAGCAGCTTACTTACAACACAAGAAAACWAACCAAAGCAAAAAAGTAGGTGTAYAGATTGTGTGAGACCCCCTTTTTAGAAATTCTAATGCCTTTTACAGGGCTATTGCTTTTCTTGTGAACACATCAGAGAGAGAYTTTCAGCAGAAGAATAAGACACTCCTCAAAAAACAGGTGTGTATACTTAATGCACAGCAGCACTTGGATAATCTCTAACAAAGCCTGACTCTCAAGATAAGGCATATGGCAAAGGAAGAAAGACATTTCAGTTTTGAAATGAGGCTTTACCACTGCTCACTCTAATTTTCCCTCTAAATTGGTTTAATCCAAATAGTAATCAAAGCCATGATCAGAGCAGTCACATACTCATTAGCAGCTCCACATCGGTGTTGACCTGAGCCAATAAAGCCTCTCTCCGCTGTGCTGCTCTCTGATCCAGCCTGCTCCTCAACAGGAACTGTGCCAGCTTTGCCTGAGCTTGCRTATGCAATTCTTTACTCATTTCTTCTGACATTTGGGAAGCCTGGAGGAAAATAACAGTTTGTTACCATTAGGAGCTGGTAATTTTAAATCTTYTGGGGGCAGAATAATGCCTGAACAAGGAATGCAAATGCTGTTCTTAATTGTTAACTTAATGATTTTGCTTCCTCTGCAACTCTCTCCAAAGTTATCCATCATCATGTATATACATTTTTCAATTACAGTTTGCTTTGACATTTTTTATTAGATTAATGGTTAAAATCKCCAATATCCTAGTGCCTTGCTGTCAAACAAGCAGGGTTAGTACACACATACCTCAAACGGATTATCTTGATCAGAATTTATGAGGCTGAATATATTTCATCCCTACAGTATTTTATGTTGCATCATTAATGCAAATTATGAAATGACTAAGAAACAGACCGGATGCAATTTGATGTAGTCATCCACCTTCTGCTGCAAAGCTAGTCTCTGCTCATCAGACAGTCCCTTGGGTCCTTTCCAAGGAGAAAGAGGTCGCCTCCTTCTTCGTTTCTCCAAGAATTTACAAACCTTTGTAAAGTACATATGAGAATATCACAATCACAGACAGAAAGTTAGTCTTCTCACTTTGTATGTAATCAATCAGTGAAAGAAAAAGGTTTCAATACTGCATCTATTAAAGCCTAAATGCAGCTATGATGCTGAAAAGACAAACACACACGGTCAGCATGAACACTAAATAGTAAGTAACAACACTCATAATAAGTTACTGACTCATTTGTAGTATAGTGACATTCCAGCCCTAGGTTTCAAAGAAGCAGGTTTCATGTTTTAGTTACAAGACTGTATTAGGCTTTGTAGCCTACAAGGTTTAACCCTCTAAAGCAACTTGTGCTTCTAGATTATCATCCTCTGAGTAATTTTTAATAAATTATGGCAACATTGACAGTAAGAGAATAMACAGAATTTTATGAGGCATCACAATAATCCGCTCAGTCCTATCAACTGTTAGAACAAAGTATAAATACTTACTGCTCTCTGAATGATGATAGCTGCCTTATACTCCTTAAGAGATTGCTTCTGCTGATGAAAAATTCTTCTTGCTCTATAGCCTCGCCAGAATCTCTGGATAGTTAATGCTGATTTCTCCTCCATTTCCTCCATGTATTTATTCACCTGACCTACAAAAGCAACAAAAACCCAGTTACAAGACTGTGCCTTAGGTTCTCTTAACAATGTACATAGTTAATCCTAAAACTAGATAGTACCAAAAAAACTTGGGTGCTCTCAGTTAAAAGCCCCTCTTTCCCCAAGGTCTGCTAGCCGTGGGCCAGGGCTTGAAGTTCATAGCTGCAATGGAGTTTTGTGACACAAGAAAACTGGCTCTCCTTTCTCCTGCACCATTTTGAAGGCAGCAGATCTGATCAGTAGTTACTGAGCCCTGGGGGAATTAGTATGTTCTCTTTCAAATAACTGGGTCAGGAAAAGAGACAGTAAGACTACAGTCCAMACAGACATGCAAGATTCAGAAATAGATTTGGGAAAATTGTTCCTAAGGAGTCCCAGACAGTTTAATCTTCTGCTATAGTTTAATATAAATCATACTGGCATGGACAACTTCCAGTAAGGCCAGCTGTCGTTCATGGAAGAGCCTCATGGCCCTCTGTCTCTGAAGTTGCATTTGAAGTTTTAGAGCTTCATCTTCCTTCTGTTTTGCTAAATGCTGCAGCTCCTGTTCCCTTTTAGCCCTGCAATACACAAATACATTAACAATTACCTCAAGTTGTACATTTCTTTAAAGTATCTCTCTTTTTCTTTGTGTTAAATGGTCCGGCATCAAGAACGAAAATCCACAAAACAATCTGCTATGCCAGCTGTTGGCTGCRGAATGACACCAAGCAATCAGAGGTCACGAGCAAAATAACAAATTGCCACACTATCTATAGTCATAAAAAACCCTGAGCTGCTCTGTGAAATCAAAGAATAARTCTTTACTTAGGATAAAGTTTTAAAGATCCTGAAGGAAATGATACTTCATATGAGACACTCACAGCCAGAATGAACTGGAACAACAATTTTGATTCCATCATCTGAGGAAGAGGTAAAACAACATTAGCCATCTGCTCCAGTATGCACCTTTCCCAGTCCATCCATCAGCATGCGTGGCACCTGCTTCCCACAATACTTATCACTGTTTTTGTACTGACTGCAAGAGTAGATCAGAATGTTGGCTGCCAAGTCTCACTTCTTAATTTTGGAGGGATATTTTTACTCCAGAAAATACAGACTGACACATTTCTTCCATCAACTTTGTTAAGAGAACACTAGGAAAGAATTTTCTTGCAAATTCTTTCCTGATCTGTTCTAGATTTGATATTAGGATGTTGCCCTGCTGTGCACTCAAAAAGACCCAGCAGAAGTTTCACAGATGAGATGAAAACCCAGCAACTGGACCTGGAGTGTTTAAGCTAATAACAACATATATATCAATGATGTACACAGCAACATATCAATATAGAGACTAACTTACAAATACTTAATTGACTGATGTATCAACACTAATAATTAGTGAGACCACTTGGCCATGGTCTCAGTGAAGTGTGGGGAGGTGTGAGTGAAGGCTTYCCCTTCCTTCACGCCCCTTCTCATCCCTGTGGACCCAACATCATCAGCAGCTTAGGGTCTGACAATGTACAACTTTTCCCCACGACAAGGTAACAGTGGGACGAACTTCTCTGCTTCTATTGCAGCAAAATCACTTCCCCACTCAGGGCCCACTGTGACCACTGGGCCCACAGCCCTGAGTTCTGCTRTCCTCTAGCACTTTTCTGAGGACAATGGAAGAAGTGCTTAAAGCACTAGGAAAGAAACCAATGGACAGAGCTTAAAGCATTAGGATAGAAACCAACAGACAGAGCACAGGCATAAGGGATGCCAGAGGAGGAAAATATCCACAGCCTAGAATTAATGTCCAGCAATGTTGCTATTGCTGCATGGCACATACTTCTAGACTCACAGTACTACTGAGCTATTTGTGTGTTTCCCATCACTAGTATAAATTGARCTATAATTTTTCTACCAACCACACTTTCTCTTCAGTCTCTATAACACTTTATAACAGTCTCTATAATCTGACAGACCATAATCCTTTTACAGCTGTAATGCAGACTTGAGGTGTGCCCACACACCTACCTACCAAGAAGCATCATGATACATACAATTATATCAGAGTGGTTTCAAGGAAACTGTAGGTCTTCAGCCCACACATTTGCRAAAATTAGAGCTGTAAATGTTTACGGTTTTAATTCAGGCAATTAATATTTTAATCCAAATATTATATTTCTAAGGTGAATGAAGTCACAGGATCAAACAGAACTTTTAATGATATTTTCTTGATAAAACTATTAATATTTTGCCCATCGATTTTTATCAGTTTCACTAGGTTGAAAACTACAAAAATGTTTCATGAACTTCTCAGATGCACATCTGTGAAACCAAGAGTGTCTGTCAGGTATTTAAATGATTCTTTGATACAKATTCTTTCCCAGGTAGTCTGCAAAACACATGGTCTTCTTCATCCTCTGTTTCTCCTAATGATAAAATGTATTTCTTGCACAAGACCACACTGTGACAGGGAACTCCCTCTGAACTAAAGTAAAACATACACAGAGTAAGATCCAAGCTTCCTTCAGCAGTTCATGGTGCAGAGCAGCCTCCCTCTGGTCATCTTATTATAAATGTAAAATTGTTTCATTTTTGATGCATTATTAATAAAAAATATTGCCTTTTTAAACATCTTACAATTAGCTATGTAACAGTGAGCTAACTTCAAGGAGTGACTACAGACTTTAACATTCACTGAAGAGTCATTTCTGACACCAAAGAGTTTCAGAAGTTTATAACTTGCAGCGTTTAAAATCTTCCTCTGCAGCTGCAGGTGAGCAAAGTTTGGAGTTTCAATCTCGGCAGTATTTAACCACACTTGTTCTAAAATAAATCTGTGAACATAACCAGAACCTGACTGCTAAAAATTAAAAAGTYCTCTTAAAAGCTCTTCTAAAGTCATGTTTACAGGGTTCCAAACGCTATTTTTCAGCATAATGCTTAGAGCAGTTTTGACCTAGACAGAAGAAAACCAATACTGGCACTGTATATTTACTGTATTTGCTCAGTACACTGGGGACTGAGTGAGCTATGAACACACAACTGTAAGGATATTACTAAGTTTCCATTCCTCTCAATATTAARCAAACACTTTCAAAAATCCATTTAGATGGACTCAAGAACTACTTAAAAGGCACACACTAATGCTTACAATATCAAAAATATCACACGRGGGAGTCAAGCAGCTTGGTGATTGCTGATTGTCTCATCACCCTTKCCCTGCTGCTTGTCCATGTTATGTCTCAGCCAAATCCAAATTTTCTGGGCTGTGAGTTTGGCTTGCAGACTTTCAAGGTGCCTGATGAGGGAAGGAATATTGGCTTCAAGTATGTGGTGGATTTAAAAGGAGTGACAAGGATGTCTGACTGCAGCACCAAAGTGCAGTGACCACTGACACTCAACAGACACACTGCTTGCCTCTGCAAATCTTTCAGAATTTAAGGATTATACTTAGATAGCCCAATATCCTCTTAAGGCCAGTCTAGACAACAAAGCATAAGTGTTGGCTTTGTGCTACTTTGGTCACAATGCAATGTGATTTGACAATGATGTCTAAGATCTATCTATATGTGTATTTTATCTATATGTAGTAATGAACAACATGAAAAAAAGTAAAAAAAAAACCAAACCTGCTGTGCAGCCTGCACTTGATTTAGATTTCTTAACCTATGTTAAATTCATCCTAAATTTCTCAAAAGAGTTAGCCTAACATGTGCTAACATTACTGCTGAAATATTTTTCAAGTGAGACAAGCATTATTTACATAGCTTCCTTCTTCTGYGCTGCTGCAAGGCAGAGGATACTATTTCTAGTAACTGAAGTTACTCCACTTCTGAGAGCCAAAGACTTCAAAAATTAATGAAGAACAAGGTCTTGCAAAGTACTATACTGAGCAAGTGCTATGGGGCTTGGTTTCTGCAGCACTCTGGCATGTGGAAGGTCCATAGTAGCTCAAATTTAATTTGCAGGGCAATTTTGTGTCAAGTTAACTATGAACCAGTTAACGGTCCTCTCACCAGGACTTAATTTTTTAGTGCTATTTAGTGCAATGCCATGCTACAGTGTGCCACASTTTCAGTTATCCATATGCCACAAATTTTAACACATAAAACATGAAAGCATCACAGAAGTCAGTTTTTCATGGAGAAGTCTGGCAGCTGGGAAAGGGACAGTTGGAGCTTTTGGCACCAGAAGTGGAAGTTTGGTACTGCTGAAAAAGCACATTGTTTGGATGTTTCTGCTAAAAAATCTGTAGTGAAAAAGCTCATATTGGCATTACATTACCTTCATGTTTGAAAAATAACAGCTGACTGGAAAAAGGCATCTTCAAGATGAAGGAACACTTGGTCAGCCCAAAGTTGGGGCCTGGGACATGGGAACAAATTCTCAGGGAAGCTATATCCAGAAAGGACAGGAAGGTGAATGGGAATAGCCAGCATAGATTTATGAYAGGCAAGTCACGTTTGACCAGCCTGATTGCATTCTGGGATGAGATGAGTGGCTCTGTGGATGCAGGGAAAGCAGCGGATGTGATTTTCCTTGACTTTACCAAGGCTTTCATCACAGTCTCCCATGTAGGGCAGGAGTGACACTCAGAGAAACCTCCACAAATACAGAAAATGATTCAATAGAAACCAYATGAAGTTCAAATGGGAAATTCTACACCAGGTACAAAATCACCTCATGAGCCAACACAGGCTGGGCACCAACTATCCAGCCAGCAGTTCCAGTGAAAAGGAGCGACAGGCTGGACACCAGCCAGTAGTGAGTCCTTGCAGGAGCAAAGGCTATGGCTTAGTGGGAAGATTATTTGGCTTTACTTGGCACACTTRGAGCATTGGTCACCCTCTACTGGAACCCCCAGTGGAAGACCAATACTGACCAATGGGAGGGATAGAAACTGTCAAACAGAGACAGTTAGGGCTTATGGAATGTAGGATATGTAAGGACAGGCAAATCTGTTTCTTGCTACCTAAAGAAGCGTTGTAGAGCAGACGCAGCCAGACTCATGGGGGTGCTCAGAAGAAGGACGAGAGGTGGTGGTAAAAAGTGAAACAATGAAATTCCCACTGCTTGTAATGGAAGAATTCTTCACAAGGCAAATTGTCCAGCACAAGGAAAGGGATCAAGAAAGATAGTAGGATCTCCATCCTTGGAAACCTCCAAAAGTGGATGTGGCCCTGAGCATCCAGATCCCGTTTTGAGGTTGGGCCTACTTCAAACCGGATTGAATTAGATGACCTGAATTTTCCCTGTCCCTCTGTGACTGGAAAAAAACCCAGCCCAAMCCAAACCTTCTTACTAGCTTTTATTCTTTACTGTTTTTCATGAAGCCATACTTTTTACCTGAAGCTTCTCTGTATGGTGGTCACTGCTCGGGGTAGCTTTTTCAGCCTTTTCCTTGTCTGAAATCCCCGCCACACAGCCTGGATTATACAAGCTGCTTGATGCTGCTTCTGAAATTAATAAAACAGTTGGTAGAATATTTCTATGCATATAAAACCACTTCATTACTGTTTGCATAATTGGACAATCTCAACATTTGGCCAAAACCCATTGGTTTTCAAATACATCAAATTGGGGAATTTAAGGTCTTAGAAGACAGTTATTATCATGAACTCCATACTTGCCCTAAAGGCAGCTAAACTGATCACCTCTATTGATGCTCTCTGTGCTAAACAAGTTAATCTATGGCACAAATATATCTATATAATCAATATTAGAAATTTGTATTTGAAACACCTGAAGCACTTGATATTTCAATTGGTGATTCAACACAAAACCTACACTTGAGATGACAGAAAGACAAGTTTGGAGAAATAGTAGCAGGAAAAATGCTACATTTGCAGTATGATCAGAAATCACTGAAATGGAAATATGAAAAAAATAAATTCTATTCTTAAATGGATTTAAAAAAAAATGCCACAAACTGAAACACGAAACTGATCTGTTGAAGATGAAAGCAGGTGTCTGCAAACATAACTCTGATTTTCTTTAAAGTATTGTCTCTGACAAGCCTGCATGTMAAATTTTTTTTAAGATGCTCATGAAACACACATTGTCTCTTTTATTGGAAATACAGTCCAGGTGGTGTTCTTACTGCACATTTTCTGTATATGACTTCGTTCTGTGTAAATGCTGGCTAGAATTCAGAGATCTAAATTTGTAACACTGATGTGAGAAAAGCAGATGCAGTTATTTTAATTTTATAGTTAGCAAAAAAATTACTTATTTTTCCTCCTATGGGTATATTAAAATCTATGGCAAATCTGCACAAAAAGGCAATCTCTTGAGTCACAATCCCGTATCTTAATCACTGAGCAACTTCTTAAAAAAAAAACCCACAATAAAATAATTTTTTAAAAGGCAATTTAAAAAGGAATTAACATAGTGAAACAATAATACAGGTTTTGAAAAGTGTCTTCAAMGTGATAAGCAAATCCATTCTAAACATACACAAATCCCATGTAAATAGGATTTCACATCTAAACAGGATTTCACATCTGAAAGTCTCATTAAACTTCATCACCTGCATTTCTCCTTTTCCATTGGATTGTTCCAAATAGAGCAGGTCCAAGAGTTGATTGAGCTCCCTATCAAATCCTTTGCCAGTCCACTGTTTACTTAAAAGCCCTTTTAATCCTAAGAGAAAAAAAAGAAGCTAATTCACTAAGGTGAATTTTTCATTTCTGAATTTCAAAGTAACAAGCTGCAAGTCAACAAATCAAATCTGATTCTGTGTGCAAAGGAATACTAGAGCTGAACACCATCAGCCATCTTTGAGTGACAATGCACAAATATATCAAAGAATATCTGGTGCTCCAACTATCACAGAGAAGTATTATCCAGTAATTTTGTGTATCCGAGTCACCACATTTTGGAAAGACAATGACAGTTAAACACTTCACACCATCACAACAGCTTCCCAAGAATCCACAATGTGATACCAGCCTTAGGCACACGATACTGATTTCATACTACAAAGAATGCCTCCTCCCTCCATCCTGTAKGCAAAAGGGTGGCAAAGCCATTCATCTGGTCCAGAAGTTTATCTGGCAGGCACCTCCCTAATATGTAGTCAGCACAAGTGCAAAATAAGGGAATTGGATGTTTTTGCCTAGCATTCCCACTTCTTACTGTCCTTGTCTTTAAAGAACTGAGACTGCTTACAAGTAGTTTTGACCAGCAATAACATCCAGAATATAAAAGACCTGGCAAATATATGCCTCTCCCTTAGTCTCCATGGGCATGATAGAGTACAAAGGGGTTTAATGAAGCTCCCTGCTAGGCTAGAGACAGAAACATTAAATGGAACCCCTCATTGAAGAATGAATAACATAGAACAAATTAAACACATACTCAGTCTCAGCATCTGAAGGCATCAAGACAAAATGATAAACTCATTTCATGAATTCTTGGAAAGAGTTCATTCYAATCACTTGGATATCAAAAGACACTCAGCTCCTGGATAACTAAACAGCCCCTACCAGATGAGCAGACCTGCACCAGCCAGGGTCAGAAGCTCAGTCTAAGTAAAACTTTCACGTTCTGGATTAGTGAGCCTTAGCACTGTGGCAGATGTGACACAGAGCTCTCTGACTGTGGCAGTACAGGCGCTTTGCCAGTGGATCCCTCAATAACCAACCTGCACAGGGAAACAAAGAAGTAAAGCCCGTCAGGTTGGAAGTGACAAACAACAGTTTCAAAAGACAAGTTGCCGCCTGCAGAGTCCTCAATGCACAGAAGAAAATAAATCTAGGAAACAGAAAGAGGTGTGGTACCTTAAAGTGCAATGAAAATGAATAGGAGGGAAAAAAAAACAAAGCAGCACCCTAAAGTGCAATGAAAATGAATAGGAGGGGAAAAAAAAACAAAGCACCATGGCACTGCAGTTCCACCTGTACTGGAGAGTTATTGAACAACAATGGGAAACCTCTGTCTTTTTATTTTCACAGGGAATGTATGAGGAGTCTCAGTGATCAATTCCATGCATGTTTACAAACCTTTGTAGCGAGCTATGAACAACTGCACAAGCTGTTTGCAAAACTTTGCCACCAACAACAGCAGTTTTGTGGCAGCACTTCCTACAGCAGGATTGGTGGTAGACGAAAGCTTATAAACAAGTTCATCCAAAACAGAGTGAAGGGTCTCTTTATCAACTTCAAGCAGGACAGAACTTTAAAATGAAGAAAGRAAAAAAAAGGGGAGGGAGAAAGCAGTGTTAATTAAAAAGTATGAGCTTTTTAATAGTGACTTATTTTCAGCTATGTCACACTACACAGCAAGCCAAGATGCCTAGTTAGCTGGACAAGGAACCAGTCCAGGCAGTGCTACTGTTTCAATCAACTAATTCCCACCCCCTCAATTTAAGAAGATTAAAACACCAGCTTTTTAATTTTTTTTCAATTTCTACAACAAAGACTAGGGGAAAAAAACCCACCCAAAATAAAAGACATCAATGCTTGCATGTGAAAATGTTTTATTTTATCAAGCAGTAATGAACTAAGTTTTATATTTAAGAAAAATAATGATATGAAAACAACTAACCTATTGATCCTCAAAATATTGTGTAACATAAACATCATTATAATTGCTGTTTCAACATCATCTGTTATTAACAACTGCAGGAAGCGATCATTTTGCAGTACTGCAAAAAAAAACCAAACAAAAACACGCAAACAAGAAATCATGCAATCAGAACCAGACTTGAAAATACCATAAAACAAATAAGTCATATGCAATAGCAAGTAAAACTAGAAACTATTTCTGGAACAAATGTCTTGATTTATAATTCTTACACTGAAACTTACTGAGATAACTAAACTACTTCAATATCCAAAAAAACATGCTTAACCTTGTTTTTTCTGCCTTGGACATCCCTCAGGCACTGATGTTGCAATGGAATTAAAGCTTTAAAACCTTTCATGTTACACTTGTACCCTTTTCTGACAACAAAAGAGAAATTAACACTGGGACTACAATATCCGAAAAAGTTAAGGACCTCAACCTTAATAGTTCRTTACCCCAGGTTATTTAATGCAAGTCCACTGATGCCATTAAAAGCACCATCTTTTTTATCCCACTGTATCATTGGCTCCATATTGAGTAATTTTTCTGACCATGTGTGTTTTTAGTTACACATCCTATAATCCTTAGGTTTTTGTTCAATACTAGAAACAAAACCAAATTCTGTTTTTTAAAATCAGKGTGATTAACATTGGTTTAAATGAAAGCTTACTTTGGTCAAAAATATACAGTGAAGTTTGTTAGACATTTGTAAAATTTCATGGCAAAAATTTCAGAAATCTGTCCAACTCTACTTGTCAGGGCTAGCAAYGTACTCTCATCAAATTTCTGCATATTTTAATCACACACAGGAAAAGATCAACTGTCTCTCATWAGAAAAAAAGCCCTGATTTTTTAAAAGGTATAGACTTACAAAGGGAAATTACAGGATGACACTTTAAATATTTGTCTCTGAAAGACTAGAAGAGGAGCCCTTGAGTATCTCCCTTTAGTGGATGTATGCCATTGTAGATAGTGGTGTTGAGCTGACTACTTAAAGAGATTGATTTACCATCTACTCCAGTTTAGAAGACTAGGTGAAGACTAGCTTAAGAATGGTTCTTGATACTTGTTGCCATAAATAGATGTTCAGGTGTTCTGTGGATTGACATTTCCCTTACCACATGCTGCTAGTTGAATATGCCCACCGATCAGCCAGCAGATGGCATCAGTTACTATTTGGAACCAACGCAAAAAGTCTTGTTTTTCTTTATCCTAAACAAAAGAGAAGTAGGTAAAAACATGTGTATGTATCTTCAGCAAGGACTTCAGCTTGATGTCATGGGAAGGTTTGCATGCCTCAGGCATCTGGAGACCAAACTCCACCAAATTTCCAAATGAGGTTGGCGAAACCGCAGGAACTAGCGAAAGAAACCCCAGCTTGTAAGACCTTTGAGATCAGAGACAAATCAATAAGATCTGAATATACTAGAAATATAAAAGCATTCATTCAGAAAAAAAAAAAAATCACAACCAGGACAGAGAAATCTTGTTTACTCCTTAAAAATATTTGATAGCATAAGGAGGGATAAGAAGACAAATAATAGCTCAGCAAATATGCATCGCAGATTAAATTAATTAAGTGCAAAATACATTGCTTTAAAAAAGGGGCGGCGGGCGGTAAGGTACAAAAAGGCCAAGGACACAGTTAAAATGAAAAAGGTTCCTGAAAATYGGTATGGTGAAGCTACAGAAACACCTCCTAGTTGGAGGTCTGGGAGCAAAYACCACACCACTATTAAGCTGAAATTTGATCCGTTTGCCAAACAGACTACATTATGCATTTGCCTGTGATAACACTGGACTGGAAAAAGACATAGAATCAATCATAGAATGGTTGGGTCGGAAGGGACCTTAAAGTTCATCTTGTTCCAACCACACTGCCATGGGCTGGGACATCTTGCACTAGACCAGGTCGCTCAGAGCTTTATCGAGCCTGGCCTTGAACACCTCCATGWATGGAGCATTCACAGCTTCTCTAGGCAACTTGCCCCAGTGTTTACCACCCTGACAGCACAGAATTTCTTCCCAAYAACTAATTTAAACCTCCCTCTTTCAGTGTAAAGGCATCACCCCCTATCCTGTCACTACATGCCCTCRTAAGAAGTCCCTCTCCAGCTTTCTTGTAGCCCCTTTAGGTACTGGGAGAYGATATTTCTCCTCAGAGACTTCGCTTCTTCACACTGAACAAGCCCATTTCTCTTAGCCTTCCTTCACTGCAAAGGTGCCCCAGTGCTATCCCATAGCCAGTAAGAATTCAGCTTTGAACATGTGAATGCACATACAGATGCACATTCCAGTATGTATTCCAAGTGCGAGCCACAGGCTACTGGAAATCTGGAATCTTGGTGTGKGGAACAACAAAGTGGCTTTTGACAGTACCACACTGCTGACAAATGCTGTTACAAAGCACATGCATGGCCTGCTATCTCCCGCATTAATTGAGAATCCACAAATGAAACCCTGGGAAGCCTGTTCCTAAATCCCTGGTGGAGCCCCAGTCACCAGTCAAGGTTTAACATTGTATTTGGTCCTTACTGACAAAGAGAGAGACAAATTAACAGTAATAAGTTATCTGCTCTGTGCWTTGGCAACATGTCAGTTTCTGAGAGCTATTTCAGTACTTCCCTTGACTTCAAAGACTTGTACAAAAAGCAAATGAGAGCAGAATAAACTTCAAATCTCTACTGGTAGAGTGGGATTTCCAAAATTCCACTGAGCAAGCACCAAGTCTGGGTGCCCAGTCACCTCTCAGACCACGAAGTTTAAAAGCCAAAGTACTAATTATAATGTAAACTGTATTTGCATTCAAAAGAAATCTTTGCCCACAAGCATGACTCAAGTAGCATGTAGGATGAGACATAATAAGAAAGTATGGGGGAAATTATATATTGTGGATATGAGTCTCCTGGGATGTCATTTAGGAAGCTTCCTTCTTAAGCACTAAATGCACTTCTCAAGTATTGGACTAAGAGAAAATATGTTGTTGCACTGATGCTTTCTGAGAATTGATTGACTGTGGTGTCTATTACAATACTCTGTAGGAAAACTAAGTGCAAGAAGTCAGTGAGCCAAGAAATGAGATAATATGGGGAAACAGGGCTATTAAAAGAATCTGTCAGAAGTTGGTTATTTAAATTACTCATGGGTTTTTGTTTGTTGGGGTTTTTTTCCTTCTGATTCAAGAACTCACAATGCTTCAGAAACATGAGGGAACCTAGCTGGGCAAAACCCTTCCTCTCTGCAAAAAAAGGAGGGAAATGTGAGAAAATGTTTAAATCTATAAATTCATGAAGTCTGCCTTTGGCATTCTCCATGTGCAACTTCAGAAGCAGTGAGCATTCTTGGATTTTTTTTTTGTCAGTTATAAGGCAGAAATTATATGACAAAACAGACTTCAACAACTCTGATTTAAAATCTTAGGACTTCCTAAACCATTTTTTTAAAGCTGAATAAATCAGTGAGAACTAAGTCATTACAAAGGCTGAACTAATGATATGCAAAGTTAAGACACTACCGTGGCTGGGATGSTGCCTTTTGTAGGGCTTTTTTTTTCCTCTTATGCTGCTGTAATTCTTCAATGCTTCTTACAATTGCACTCCTTCCTCCCACCTTTAAACCTTGTGAAAAGTAGTCGTCAAACTATCTAAAYAGGCCTATGGTAACAGACTGACTTTGCACAAGTCATGGAGCAAATGCTGCACAATGACGGATTTCGTTTCAGAGCTCCAAGGCATAAGAAAAACCACTGCAATTTCTGGAAGATAAATTTTCATAATACCATGTTCCTAGAATAATATCCTACTTATCCAATATATAACTTGGAAAATTTTGCAGGTGTTCTCTACTCTTTTAACTCAGAATTTTAAATACCTTGATTGCACGGATAAATCGTGCTTGCAAGCGTTTTCCCAAAACGAGTAGGGTGTCTACTGATGAAGGAAGAAACTTCTTGTAAAATTCTTCAGGATCTTCTTTCACCTCTAATCCTACACAACAATGACTGAAATGAGAAAAAAAAAGTGAAAGGGGAAAAAAAAAATCAACCTGAATAGCCAAAGTCCTGTTTGAACAGCTTTGAATGAATGTCACGTCATCAGAGAAATGCTTCACTGGCATGGGACAATTCCCCCCTGAAAAACAGCTCACTGCTGTGACTGGCTCCAAGGTGGCTGCCTCTGAGGAAGAGCAATCACTCACAGGTTGGAGACCACATTACTACTTATTATGGCATTTCTCAGTTAAAAACATATCCAAGGCACTTTCTCCTTTAGCTTCATAGAATCTGTTCAGGCTTGTTCCATATGCTGGAAAAGGGCTCTGATGGTCATAAAGAAGGGGGAAAAAGGCAAAATAGAAATGTAGCAGAAAAGACTGATAAAAGAAGCCTGATGATGAAGAGGGCTACATCAGGCAGTGAAAATACGTATAAAAAATACATACCATAAAACCTCCAGTGAGCCTGTCTACAACATTTCTCTAACTAAGGAAGACATGTGGGCTAGAAATCAGTTCCTCAGATCTCAGCTCTCCTRTTTCACTCACCACAAAYATGTAGGTTGTTTCTGGAAGACTTTTTACAAGAAACTGCATGTTTTACAGCTGGTAAGTTGTTTCAGTTCTGCACTCGGCACAGATCCAGTGCAACAAAAGAGTCTTCCTGACTTTTTATGAATTTTGCTTTCTGGTATCTTATCTAGGATATGTTAGCTTTTTGGGAATGCACACACGTAATGCAATCTACCAAAGCCCTTGGAAAACAAATTCTAGGCATGAAGCTGAGATACATCTAGCTACAAAAGGACATTTTTACAGCTAAAATAAATTTTAGTATTCTCTGCAACTGAAAMCGCTTGTAGAGGATGATTTAAGAACCACACTACTCTGGTGATAACTTTTGCATCCCTTACTGAAATTTCTCACATTAAAAATTCACACTGCAGATACAGAATAAATAAGAGATGTCACATAATTACTTCATGCCTTAGAATTTTGCTCCCTAGTTAAGCYAAAACTAAGTACAACTTGAGTAAATTTTACAATGTATTATTTTTCCTGACATTTAAAGTTGCAATTGCATCAGTAGGGTTTTGAGCTTGAAGTTTTCTTATTTACAATGCCATTTTCATATCTCACATCAGGTTATCTAGTTTRTATGAGCTGTGTCATCTATTATATTTAAAAATGTAAACAGATACTTTAAAAAGGGTATATTAAATAAATACTTAAATACAGTCAAGCCAAGCAGTGAGTCAATCAGGCTGAAGATCTTTGCAAGATGAAATCTAAGCAAACAAACCTTTAAAAATAACTACAATTCAAAATCATGCAATTACCAGGCAAGAACTGTTGCACTGGTGAGTACTATCCACAAAATAAGGTAAAGCCAACACAACCCTGTTCCCACCACACAGTTCCCCCTACTCAATGAAACACAATGCATATGAATTAAACAGGACCAATTAGGCTATGCCTGACCCCTCTGCTCTTGACTGCTCCCTGCACTTTAACCCTGGCCTTTCCTGAACAACAAGCCTTGTTCTGGATGGGAGCCAATGTATTACAGCTTGAAAAGAGAAGGAGCAAGATGAAAGGACAGAAAGAAAACTAGAAGAAAACTTCATAGCTTTTTGGTTTTTACCTCAGTATCTCTGCTAGCTGGGCAGCAGTAGCCCAGGCTCCACGCAGCTGAGAGTGATCTCGCTTAAGGACCAGCAAGCAGTATTGAGTAAGACCATAATCRTATATATCTTGCTTAATTTTTTTTGATTCTTCACATCCCAAGGAAGGACTAYTTAAAATTCCTGGGGGAAAAAAGGCAGAGAGAGACAAAGAGGAACATAAGATTCTGATGTGCAACTTTTTTTTTCTTTTTCTAAAATATAAAAAGAGTATATGTGCACAGAGATAGGATTAATGTAATTGTAAAAGAACTAACAACAGCATAAAATATTTTGTCAGCAATTTTTTGCTGCCAAAGCTACAACCCATTTGTAGGATTATATGACAATTGGGAAGGATAGCTAAACTTAGGTTTCTATTTTCTCTCTACATATTTAGTAGCAAAACATACATTACCTGGGATATGGACCATTTGTATGAATTTCCTAGGCTAGATAAAACCACAACCACTGGGAAACATATAGCTTCCTTATAATTATATCCCAATTTAGAACAGGACCTGACTTGTTTCAACCATTCCTATGAGCAGTGGCTGCATAGCAGAAGGAAAGACAAGGAAGTCACACAGGAGCTYATGATCTTGTTTCTATGTTAAGATTTAAAAACTGAATACTGACAACCACCCTGGCTCTCTGCCCAAAAGCACTGGGAGAAATGATTTGACCAAGTGTAAGCTCCCTGCCTGTATTAGTGGGGAAAGGGCCCACATATCAGGGTGACAGCTGAAAGACAGAAAAAACTTCTATCCATTTGCTCCCAGCTCCTCCTCCTTATTGTTGCAAAGCCAAATGCCTCTCAGGAAACTCTCAAAACTCTCAGGAAAAGCTGCCGTATCAACCTTCCTTACAGAGTTTCAGAAAAAAACCTTCTGTATTTAATGAGGCAGGCAGGAGAAAGACTGCCCACAGTTCACCAGCTCATCCTTTTATTTTAGGAACGGCATTAATTACCCTTTAACTTCAGCAGCAGCAGGGGGATGTCCTGTTCTCTACTCTCAGTGACCTGAGCAGCCAAGGCCAGGACCTGGGGGTCCGCGGCTGCCATAGGGAACAGCCAGAGGCGCACACCACCATCGATTCCAGCCTCTTTCCTTTTTATGTTAAGGCGCGGGGTCCTCACACCAGTACTTCATCCCACCTCCAGCTCCTGCAGCACCAGCTGGAAGCCTCGGGCCGCAGGACTCCCCCTGAGAAAGGAAACAAACATGGAGGGAGCCCCATTCGCGATCCCTCTCGAGGCCGCGGGCAGCCGGACCGGCTCTGCCGGCAGGGCGCAGCTCCGGCCGGGCAGCCTGAGCGCGGCCCCACGGGGCGGGCAGGGGGAGCGGCCTCACCTCACCYAGAGCCGGGGAAAGGGCAGAGGGAGCGGTGCCCTCTCCCACCGGCGTCACCCCGGTGCCCCCACCGTCCCCGGGAGCGGCGGCGCCGGTGCCGCGAAGCCCTCGGACCGCGGAGCACCTACGGGGAACTCTGAGGGGACCCACACGCACCCCCGGCCCCTCTCACCGCCGCGCGGGGGCTCCCCGACTGCGGGGGGAGGAAGGGGGGATTGGAACGCCGAACCCGCGGTCTCCAACGCGACGGCTCCCCCACGCCCCCCTCCCCTCACAGCTGTGTGGTCGCGGCCTCTCTCCGCCAACCAGCGCTCTCCCCTGAGGGAGGAGGAGGTTATTTGCATATCCGTGTGCGGGCAGGCGCCTCCGATAACTCCACTGGTGGAGATCTACAGAGAGACGTGGTCATTGCCCAATCCAAGTCCGGAAAAGGAGGGGCTCTGCCCATGGCTGCCTATCGGAGCTCGGGTGGGCGGGTCCCGCCGGTCCGGGCGGTGTGAGGGATGCTCGGTGCGGGCGGCGGCGGCGGCCCTGGGGCCCGCCATGGTGTGAGGCTCTGCCGCGATGAACGGAGCGGTCCCGTCGCTCTACGATCCCAAGGCGCGGGTGCTAAAGCTGGGGGAGAGTTTCGAGAAGCAGCCGCGCTGCGCCTTCCACACCGTCCGCTGTGAGTGCTGAGGTTGGGGCAGCCCCTCGGGGGCTGCGGGGACCGGGAAGGCGTTCAGCGGCCCCCGGTCCCCGCGGTCCCCTGAAGGGCGAGGGATGGCTGTGGGCCGGCCTGGCATTGCAGGCTCAGTGGCTGCTTCTGTCCCGGGATTCTGGGTCGCAGCKGGGAGCCGAGTGCCGTGGAGTGCTGCTCCGGGATTTTGGGAGCGGTGCAGGTTTCACTCGGTGCTGGGAGCACATATGGCCATTGTATTCCAGAGCTGCCCCTCGCTACCAGCTGGACACTAGCTTMGTTTTTTATGCCTTTTCCATGGTGTCTCTCTGCGGTTCTGCTGGAAACTGAGCTTACCTGAACCTGTGGCTCTGCCCTCTTTCCTTGCACTCAGTTTTTAGAAGTTCCGTACAATTCAGCAATCAAAGGTTAAAGGCAGGCGGTGTTAATCACGGAGCCAGTACACCCTCCCTGAGTACATAATTACTATCTAGAGAGGTGTGTGCTCAAAGATTCTGAGGGTAGCTAGGAAACAAATGCTCCCAGGATTATAGTCCTTAGTAATTTAGGACTGCAGCTTCTGGTTTTGTTGTCTGGTTATTTATAGACTGATCCTTAAGATTCAGTCTCACGTATGTTCGTTCTCTGGAGTGTCCTGTGTGCTCGATGGGTAATGTGCTCTCTGTGAGCAAAGGGAACGGCAGTTAGGCAGGCAGCTTGTCTACAACTGTGGAAGCAGAGGAGAGGGGAAAACAAGCTATAAATGGATTTATACAAATGCTGCAATTTGAAATTTACCCTAATTTTAAAGAGGACTAACAACCCCGTCTGGTACCTCCTACCCTCAGAGTTTCATGCTGACTCTTGTAATTTGATGATTTATTCTGAAATCTGTTTTGAAATCTCTCTTCCTTTCCAACAAATGAGACATAGAAACTGGCACGTTCATCAGTTCTATCAAATGCACATGCGGAGGAAATATCCTCCAACATCTGACATTTTTATTAACAGTTGAGTAAAAGAGAAAACAGCTGCTGGTTAGAAGTTAAGATTGAAAGTATCAATATCTTCATTTTCTCAAGTGTTAAGAGCCCAGTAGCCATATATTAAAGCAAATATTCTCTGATTTGATGAGAAACTTTGAAACTGTTGTATGCTTATTTAAGACAACATTTAGGGGTTTGCCCCTGAACAAGGTTAGCGCGGCTGTCACCTGTGTCTGAGCTCCGAGCCTCCTGCTGTGCTCACAGTGCTGCCCAGCAGCCTGGTTTTCCTGYCCGGTTGGTGTGCTGGCTGGAGCCGTACTTCCCAGCTATGATCTCTGCCGCCTGGCCCGTGGCTGCAGGCCGAGTTATGGAACTGGGAAGCTCCCCAGCTGCAGGAATGCCGCCGCCAGTGACTAGCAGCGTGAGCTGGGGCAGGCAGTGAGGTGAGGAGCGTGTGCCGAGGCGTGGAGCGTGTGCCGTCCGATGGGCTGCCTCGGCACTTCCTCCGGTGTGCGAGACAGGGAACCGACAGGGTGCGACACTGGCCCTGTCTTGCCTGGAGCCGCGGGCTCAACCCCACATATGTTATCCCAGAAGAGCCTCTTGACGCCATTCTCCCTAAATCAGCACAGACAGTGTTGACTGTAGCCTTTCCTTATTTATTTGTGGTGGAAATAATACTTGGTAGGTGATGGTGCATAACAGAGCTTGCCGTGCTGATGCCTGAACACATGCTCGTTTGCAATGTCTCAGAGTTTTGAAAAGGACCAGAAATTGATACCTTCTTTWGCTCAAAACTTATTTTAAACAGTACTTTTTATGTTGTTTTAGATACAAAATGTAAATCAATGTTAAATTGGGAAGTCATTTCACTTTTAACAAAAGTAACTATACTGAAACCCCAAGTTTTTATCAGCTTCTGGCATGCTTGTTATAGCAAAGTCAGAAACAGAAATGTATATTGAGAGTTGATGTTCTTTGCATTTTTAGCCACTTATCTACGTCTCTCAGGTTTGGGATCAACATTTTCAAAAACTATTTATTGATTCTTCTGAAAGTAATTRTGGAGATTTATCTTTTGAAATATAACACAGCTTGTTCAGCCTTTTTATCCATTAAAACATAAAGGTGTTTTTTCTAATTCTATCTGAAATATTTAAAACTTTATAATGGATCCTGAGAAAAACAGCTAGACTTTGAATTCCACTGACTTATGGAATGATCTGCTTAGGGAAATGGTACATGATACACTAGGAAAAAARAAGGCTTTTACTTAATAGCCTCTAACTTCAATTAAGTGGTGCCTACATTTGTAAGATTCCTGAAAACTCTGTAATTAATCCAGTCTGTTTTTATATTCAGATGACTTTAAGCCTGCATCTATTGATATGTCCTGTGAAGGAGACCTTGAAGTTGGCAAAGGTGAACAGGTGACAATAACGCTGCCAAATATTGAGGTGAGTTGGTGTGGYTAAAGAATGGCAGGCTCGAGGGAATGGTTAATTTTGTATAACTATATATCCTGAATATGGAAGGGCATAAGGTTTCAATGCTGTTTCAGAGCTGCCCGTGTGATCTTTAAAGTAGAAAAACAATTGCTCTAAGAATGTAAGACTACAAAAGATACAAAGGTTAAACAGCTGCACTGTAACTTTAAGTGTATTTACTGCTCTGRAAATATGCTGTAGGATGACCCAGAAGTGTTGCGTACACAGAAAACTTCATGTGTATGTTGGCAGTGCAAGTTTCCCCTTGGTATTTATTGCTCTAATGCAGTTCTAAAGCAGGAAAGACTGGAAAGGGAAAATTTACTACCTGCCATACTTTACTGCTCTGCTGATAGGGAATTGAAACCCCTTTTGGTGACAGGAGTCCTAGAGAGAGCCTGCTCTCCTTGGGAAATAAACATTTAATCAGTTTCAAACTAAGCTAAGTGAGTAAAATCCCATTCCAGTCAAACACCAGCTGCTTTTGGACATAGGTACTGTGAATCTAATTTGAATCAACCGGTAACATTTTAATGACTAGAACAATCACTTGTGAACTTGTTATTACTGATGTATTCCTGTTTCTAAGAAAAAAGACTACAGGAGTAATACTTACTGAAGTTCTGCTTTWATAGGGCTCAACTCCACCAGTGACTGTGTTCAAGGGCTCAAAGAAGCCTTACCTGAAAGAATGTATCTTAATTATCAACCATGACACTGGAGAATGTCGCCTAGAGAAACTTAGTAGCAACATCACTGTGAAAAAAACCAGGTGAGTGRTTCACAGGAGAAACAACGGTGCTTTTCTCATTGCGAAAATCGATTTGTTAACGATTCTAAATTGAGATATATCACTACACATTTTTATTTTTAGGACAACATAATTTTAGAAAGTACATGGCTTTGTTCAAAAGAGTGAAAAGCCTGTTTTCTTASCAAACTGATTTCACATCTTATAAGTCATGACTGCAGAAGAAATGGGAATTTATTTTTTTTGTTAACCAAAACACGTTATATYATTGAAAGAAATATTTTCTGGTGACTAAAGAGGGAGGAAAAAAGATCTGTTTGGCTGGTAGCTTGCTTACTGTCTTCTGATTTGTAAATAAGGAAATTAAAAAGAAAAAGAAAATTTTGTGACAGGTTTAGTAATTTTAATGGCTTGTTTTTCTGATACCAAGTTTTTAAAATTTTTTTTGGGCTGCTAAGTCCATATAAGYAGTTTCCAGCAGAATTACTATTAAGTGATCCTGAAAAGCAAAGTATAAAAACATATCAACTGACAAAGTGTTATAAAGTTATTAGCATTGTATAAAARAGAATTTTAAGCACTTATATACAATATTAATAGCATAATCTTAATATATTATGTATATTAGTATAATAACTTACCAGTGTAATAACTTCCAAAAAATCTAAAGATGCTATTTAGAAAGGCATGAGAAATAATTCCCTGGTACCATATCCCCTGTATTCTTGCCTTTTTCTTGGCATCTTGCCTTCTAGTAATTAAAAATCTTTTGCTTTTACACACAGAGCTGAAGGAAGCAGTAAAGTCCAGTCTCGCATTGAGCAGCAACAGCAGCAAATGCGAAATGCTACAAAGGTTCCAAACAACGTTAAAAGCTCTCCATCAAAAGAAAAAACGTTTCCATCTTCTCCTATGGATGATATTGAACGTGGTAAGCTCCACTGGCACATAAGTTCCAGAAACTTTGCTGTTAACAAGCAACTAGTTTTTATAGAGGTTTTTGCTTGTGTGGGTTGTTTTTGTTTTGTTTTATTTGAGTTTCACACTAGAAGCTGATTRTGTAAGCAACTTTACTCTGATATGGAAATGACCACTCTGGCTTAAGTGGGTTAAAAAACCGTATTTGTAGCTTGCTAAGGTAAAAAAACCAGCTGAACCATTAGGCTTAATAATACCAGGGGTCTCACTGCTCTCTCCTCGACTGTCTTCCAMTCCTACTTTAATCAAATATATGGTTGGTTGTATCATGGTACTGGAACTACATCACTTCCATGTTGACATCTCTCCTTTTTCTCTCTGTGCTCTCAACAAACATGGGTTACAGTACTTTACAGCTCAACATATACTTTAAATTAAGATACAGCCTTGTCAAAGATGAGGGTCTGATGAAAAGAACAGCTAAAAACTTGCATAAATCAACCCTTGAGCAGTGTTATGTACTATTTCCTTGAGAGACTCTGGTTTGGTGTGACACTCATATTTCACTTAATAAAAGGCCTTATTTCCTTTTGGAGGACAAGGAAGA